AAGCCTTCCAGGTGGTGCATTCACATGTATGATCCACACATCTCCTTCACATGTTAGCTTTGGCTGAAATCTGTTAGACCAGAGAAATCTTTAAAATCCACACATAGAAAAGAGTTAAAATTCATCAGTCATCTAGTAAACACTTATTGGGTTTTTGCTATATGCCAGGCGCTATGCTAAGCACTTTGCCTGCATCCTCTCATTTAGTCCTCACAGCTGTAAAGTTTAGATACTGTTATTATTCCCATTTTATGGATGAAGAAACTGAGACTCTTGGAGACCTGAAGTGACTTCCCCAAAGTCACCAGCTGTTAAGTAGCAAAGTTGCAACTTGAATCCAGATCCATCTGGTGACAGTTCATACTCTGAATCCTTACTCATTTTTGCCCTTTTGCTAAAAAGCTGTTAAAGTATGAACATCAGTTAAAGTGCAAGTTGGGTTTTTTTTCCCCAAAAATTGAGAAAGTACTTTAAAAGTCAGATTGATTAATTTTTTATTAAATTTTTTTTTTTAGGAAGATTAGCCCTGAGCTAACTACTGCCATTCCTCCTCTTTTTGCTGAGGAAGGCTGGTCCTGAGCTAACATCCATGCCCATCTTCCTCTACTTTACACGTGGGACGCCTACCACAGCATGGCTTTTGCCAAGCAGTGCCGTGTCCACACCTGGGATCCGAACCGGTGAACCCCAAGCCACCAAGAAGCGGAACGTGTGCACTTAACCGCTGCACCACCGGGCCAGCCCCTATTAAATATTTTGATTGAATATTGTGAGCTCTCCCCATACTCTGAAACAAATGTTTATTCCCAGAGCTGACTACATTAAGCATCGTTTTTTCCTGAGATTAAGGAAAAGTGGTGGTGGTTATAAGCCTTCCTGGCCACACGGGGGCAGCACCAAACAGCGCAGGTTGCTCTTTGCCGCTTGGTTCTTTGGGAGGAGGCGGAGCTCGCCGCCTGATAGAGCTGGGTTATTCCCCATACACTCAGTTATTCCCCGTGCACCTGTTACCTCTTACTTTGGCCACGTAGACTGGTGGTGAAGGTTTTCAGATCAGAAACTAAATTACAACAACAGCAGGACTGCACAAGAAAAATTGCTTACGTTCATTGTAATAATGTAGTCAGAGGTCCTGCTTTCTTTTTATCAGCAGGACAAAACAGTATACAGTGGGCCCTCTGTATCCACAGATTCTGCATCTCTGGATTCAATCAGCCTTGAATCCAAAGGACTATGATGGTCACATCTGTACTGAACGTCTACAGGCTTTTTTCTTGTCATTGTTCCCTAAATAACACAGTATAACAACTATTTACCTATAATTTACATTGCATTAGGTATTACAAGTAGAGATGATTTAAAGTATACAGGAGGATGTGCGTAGGTTATATGCATATACTACCCATTTTATAAAAGGGACTTGAGCATCATGGATTTTGGTATCTGTGGGGGTCCTGGAACCAATCCCCGTTCGACAGGAGGGACGACTATACTTAATGTACTGTCGTGGGGTTGAGAGATTCCCATTTCTCAGTCAAAAAAGATGCCCTTGATTTTTAGTGAGCTTGTTGAGTTTGAAATCCATGCATTCTTGGAATCGAGGGACAAAAAGCAGCCAGTATTCTATTTTACCTTCCTTGTTGTTAATAAATTCTTTTGAGTATTCGCAGATTTTAGAATTTGGCAGTAGGCAACTAGAGGAAGTGGGAAAATGTGTTCCTGGCTTCTAGTTTGAAGGGCATATGACCATGCATCCCATACTAATACTGTTGTCTTAGGTTCACACCCACCAGCCTCACCAAGATGCTCTACCATTAGCAGCTTCTGTTGATCTTGAACCCCATTTCCACTTGGACGTATCTCACTATCCTTGATCCAAGCTTCAATTTCCATGCTAGAGGCTGAATACACTGGAATTTTGACTAGAGCGACTATGATAATTTATTATCCAAACCAGAACACTTTTGAGAGTAAAAAGAGTTGCTCTTAATAATTTTGCCAGAACAACGAACAAACCAGAGCTATCCTGGGGACAATTGGAACATGTGCTCACACTAATTACAAATCTTCTGCTTCTTTCATTTTCCCCCTTTGATGATTCCAGTTAAGATTTATGTGGCACTGTGTTCATTTTCTCTTTCATTCAACAAATGCTCATTGAGTGTTTTCTATGTGCTGGGCTCTTTACCTGTATTATATTGTTTTCTCCTCTGAGGTAACTATTATTGTTATTCCCATTTTCACAAATGAAAAAACAAAGTTGAGACTTTGTAAATTGCTTGCCCAAGATCACAGTGCTGGTAAGTCTGAGCTCAGATTCGAATCCAGGCCATACGTACTCTTGAGCCATATATACTCAAAGTTATTGACGTCGCCTACTGTGTTCTTGAGCCTTCTTTATGCCTGGCCCCATCCGACACTGTCCTGCCAGTAAAACCTCAGTCATATAGCAGTGTTTAAGAGTGGGAGCCCAGAAGTCAGACTGTCTGGGTTTGAATCCTGAGTGCTTACTAGCCTTGTGCTTCGCTCACTTTCCTCATCTGTAAAATGGGTACAGTAACTTTGTTTCAACCTCAAAGGCTTGAGGTAAGGAGTGAATGAGTTAATACCTTTGACATTGGAACAATGCCTCGTTTGCTGTATTGAATGATACAACCATGCTGTGCTTATTTTCTGCTATTTAGGTAGGTTGGGGTTGTATAAACGTTCTCCAAATCAAGAGAGTTTCTGTTTCTTTTCGAGGCAGGAGGGGGCTGCTGGAGATGGTAGATAACAGCATCAAAATGGCAGGCCAGCGGTGGGTGGTGGCATTGTGATTCTACTGACTAAGGACCATGATGGGAAGCAACGAGGGAGGGAGGTGAGTGAGCTACTCCTTGGAGGAAGTGGAAAAGGGGTGCTCATGGGGGCAGAGACCCGGGAAGTTGCAGGTCTTATTAAAACGGGGAACATGTGCTGTGGTGTGCACCTGTGACATACCTGACGTGTCCACCTGGACAATCTCGGTCAGGTCTGGGGCTGAGGAAGCAAAGCTGCAGAAGGGTCAGGCAGACCAGCTAAGAAATGTCCCAGCTGCTGCCCAGAGGCCGGCCCTCAGGTGCTCACAAGCCGGCCCCTGTGCCCGTGGGCATCCTCTTCTCCTTCGAGCAGTTTCACTGCAGCAGATGCACACTGAGGGCATCTCCCAGAACCTCTCCCCAGGACTCAGGGTCCTGAGTAGCTCTGCGCTTGTCTCAGGGATGACCTTCTCTTTTTGGTTTGTCTGTAAAAGGCACCGTCTGCACCGTCACACACGGCAGCTGTCCTGCTCCAGGTGGTCACAGTACTTCCCTCTAGGACGTGAGCATCCACATCCTTTCACCTAAATAGATTGTCTTTGGTATTTTGGTGGTTTTTCCCCTGAGAAAGTATAATTAGCCACTCAGGAAGGAGGCATCCAATCTGGGCCTGGGGGCTGAGGAGGGGAAAGTTGAACTAGCTGAATGTGCTCGCTGTGGGATAGTTGGCTGCATTTTTTCATTTTATTGGGAAGTTTACCTTTGGAAACTTTGTAAGACACTCTTTGGGCGCCAGCCTGTTGGCTCCCGTGGAAGTGTGACCCCTTGTCTTCCCCTCCTGTCCTGGAAAAGTGGTCTCGACCTGCTGTGCAGGTTGAGGGGGACCCCGGGCCACAGAGAGGGGTGATGGACCCGGGCTGCAGGGTGGGCTGAGGGACCTCAGTTGCGGCCGTCTGCGACCCTGGCGATGACCAGCAAGGTGGATGCTATAGCCAAATTGCCCTCACGTGTCCCATGAATTTCTTTCTTTGTACATCTTTGGATTTTTTACTTGTTACAATACACATATAGTACTCGTTATATTTTTTTAAAAATTGAATATCTGAACTTTTTTTTTTTTAAAGATTTTATTTTTTCCTTTTTCTCACCAAAGCCCCCCAGTACATAGTTGTATATTCTTCGTTGTGGGTCCTTCTAGTTGTGGCATGTGGGACGCCGCCTCAGCGTGGTTTGACAAGCAGTGCCATGTCCGCGCCCAGGATTCGAACCAACGAAACACTGGGCTGCCTGCAGCGGAGCACGCGAACTTAACCACTCAGCCACGGGGCCAGCCCCTTGAATATCTGAACTTTGAAAAGGAAGACAAGGAGCATGATCTCAAAATATCTCTAAATGATAAAAGAAGAAATGGAATTTGTGCTTTAAGTTATCTCACAAGGCCCTGGTTCTGCAGGCTTTTTGAGGTAGATGCTATCGGACCTGAGACCTATTGTCGTGAAAGCATGAAAGCACACTTTATCCCATTTTCCTTCATTTCTGGGTATTAGAGAATACATTTTGCTTTATTATTATTAGAAACAAGTACCTAACATGTATTTAATTCATTCTGTTTCCTATTGTCTTTTTCTAGGTGCTCAATGAGTAACAGACCTTATGGGGGTTGTGTTTCTTACTATAAAAAAAAATCTGCCTTATAATAAATAAAGGAGCTTAGGAATTTTTATACCCAACAGCCCCATAATTCTACTTCTAGTAATCTATTCTAAGAAAAAGATTTGAACACACACACAAAGTTAGGCAAGAAGATATTTATCACTACGTCCTTTTTTCTTTCTTCTTCTTCTCTCCAAAGCCCCCCGGTACATAGTTGTATATTCTAGTTGCAGATCCTTCTAGTTGTGCTATGTGGGACGCTGCCTCAGTGTGGCCTGACGAGCAGTGCCGTGTCCATGCCCGGGATCCGAACTGGTGAAACCCTGGGCTACTGAAGCGGAGCGTGCTAACTTAACCACTTGGCCACAGAGCCAGCCCCTTATCACTACTTTTTTTTAATAGCAAAATGTAGTTACAATTTAACTTCCAACAATGGTGGGTTAGATGATTGAACATTATGTAGCAATTAAAGATACATTAAGCATACCTTGCAGAGGATTTTAGGGTAATCTGATAGAGATTGACCTGTGACCAGTGAGTAATTTCCTGCTCTCTGCCTCTGTCTTCTAGTGTTTTGCTGTGCGCTCTCTGGGCTGGGTGGAGATGGCAGAGGAGGACCTCGCCCCTGGTAAAAGCAGTGTTGCGGTCAACAACTGCATCCGGCAGCTTTCCTACTGCAAAAATGACATCCGAGATACGGTCGGCATTTGGGGAGAGGTAAGTAACAGGTGGAAATAAGTAACGGCAGGCTTATTTAGGTTCCGCTCTGGTTCCTGAAATCCCAGAGCTCCGGGAGACGCGATGGGGAAGGCATGGAAGGTATTTAGCAGTTGCTTCTTCCCGTGAAGCCAGGTAGTGTAGGCACGGTGATGTGTCTCTGAGCACTGCCAGGTCCCAGTGAGGACCGAGGCCCTGGGAGAGACCATCTCTCAATGTCTAAGTGACAAGGTCTAACCTGGTATCCTCCAGGGATTCATGGATGGACTTTAGGGCCCAGAAACCCCCTAAAATTGGATGTGCCCATATCTAAGAGCAGTTTCCTAGGAAGAAGACCCACGCTTCTCTCAAAGTATCTTCTCAAAGGGGAATGTGTGACCCCCACATACACAGAAAAATTTTGATGCCCCTGCTCTAAAAGTTGACACATTATCCTTTTTAACACATTCTTCACTTATAAACTGAAAATTGACATTATACGTGAGTTTTGGAATCGATACGTATACTTTCTCACTCTGATCAAAGTAAATTTGTTTTGAATTTAGTTGAGATGATTTCAGAAGGGAAAGTAATAAGTAAAACTGCCAAATTTGTATAACAGTCCTATGAAACAGGAAAAGCCATATTCCTGCCGTGCTCTGAGACCGTAGAACAAGCCTGGGGAGCGTCCTGGAACTGTGGTGGCTGCGTGAGTCTGCCCCCACGCTCCACCCCCAGTTAACAGAGCATTGGTAGCGGAAGTCTGCTTTTGGGTTGGGCCGTTTGGAGCTCCAGTCACATTTTAGCCTAGCAGCACTGCCATCATGGGAGGAAGCATTCCTTGGTGGAGTCTGTCTGTGGAATGGGGCTGAGTTGCATTGCCAAGCAGACTTTTAGATCCTGGACGTGGGGGAAGAGGCGAAAGAAGGTTCTCCTGTCCAAGAAAAGGATGCTTTTGTGGTATTTGCCTTTACCATCCTTTCACTGCAATACCTCCCACTTCCCACCCAAATACCCAAGCCTCTCTTTGCCACCAAATTATCCACCTGCCTTCAGTCAAAATGCTATTCTGTCAAAGGAACAAATCTCAGCTAGGATTTAGAAGGAAGGTTGGCATAATTTATACTAACATGTGACAGACTGATGAATCCCACCAGATATTTGCCATTTTATAGGAGCTTAGTAAGCTTCTAAAGGAATCTCCAATTGGCAGGATTCCAGCAGGAGAGAGCGCTCTGGATGGGGATGTGGGAGGCAGCCATGCCTGAAAATCTGCCGTGCCTTCCCCCCCAACCCACCTAGGCCGTTCTTATTTTTCTCAGTTCTTTCCTCTCCTTCTGAAACAATAAATTCATCAGGCAGTGTTTCTAGTTCGTTGTGTGTAAAGTACAGCTCAGCGCTTAGGGTTATGAGCTGTGACTTTTTGCCATGCCTTGCCACACACAGCACGACTCCTTAAATGTTTGTTGAATGGCTGACTGGAAATAAAATCATGACTTTCAGATGAGTGTTTCATCTTTAGATGATATCTGCATAAGCACTGGCTGTTTTGGTAACAAAAACCAATTAGCAGGACTTTACACTGGTCAACCAGAAGCTGCTGTGTGCTGATGAGAAAACTGAAGGGGTCTATGTGGGAAGACGTGAGTGTGCCAGATGAACTCAAGAGAAGCCACGAGGTGTTTTCATTCGGGGACACTCCACACTCACCCAGCCCTTCTCATTTTAGATTACTGGCTGGAAGTTGTCACTGGTTCTGTCGAATATGCAAGGATTGTCAGCAGAGTTAGTTGATGAACTTGGCCTCTTTTGCATTGAGGGGACCAGTTGTGGTTTCTAAACTGAATCAACCCAAAGGAAATGCAACGCCCAGCTCGAGGAGCGCAGACTTGACCTCGCTATGGGTCACATCCTACAAAGCCTGTTTAACATATCAGGTGATGATGTCGGCGAAAACAAAGCCTTTCAGAGTCTGTTAGTACCTGCAAGGTGTTTGCCATGAAGCAGCCACACAGAAGAGAGTGGGAGTTACCAGGTGGCAGTTGTACTGGGGGCCACTCACCAGTGGGTCTGGCTGAGGATCTCTTTTAGGCTGCAGTCAATGCTCAATTCCTGCTAGGAAGGGACAGAGAGAGGAGGAGAAGGCACCAGAACCCCCAGACAGCTCTCAGTTATCCCAGAGCAAACCACCTGGAAGGCCCCTGGGGGACCTGGGACCTGCTCCACCCTCTGGTTTGCAACTTTCCGGGGCTCTCTGATCATGTGGCTCCTGAGCACCACTGCGTGACAGCCCTCAGCTAAAGGCTGGAGGGAAGGAGCCCCGCCTCTAGTGAAAGGGTTGGGTGGGGGACTGCAGCCCACCTCTGTAGCTTGGCTCCTCTCCCCGGCTCTGCCAACTGTTGCTTAGTTACTGGCCAGTTACCCCCCTCTGTGAGGTGCTGGGAAACTGAATCTTTCAAGGACCTGCACCTCAGTCATGATTAATCTACAAACTGGGTAATTAAGAGTTGGCTTTCTGCCCAGGGTCTGGATACAGCTGTGACCTTGGAGTGTCCGCGCACTGGCCCTGCCCTACATCGAGCAGCATGAGCTGCAATTCCCCGACAAAGACGATGGGGGCGCCGTGGGTCCGAGGCGGCCTGCAGCCTGTTGCTCCAGGCTCTGCGGAGTCTGCGCAGCTGCAGGTCTGCGCAAGTTGCGCTTTCTGCCAGTGCTCTCATCTGGAAATGGCTTTCCTGCCCTTTGGGAAGGTTTCAGGTCCTCCTGGATCTCAACTGTAGACTCTCAACTGAAACAGTGGCCGGCAGAGGCCCCGAGATACCCGTCTCTGCCCCTAAACAGCAGAGCGTGTGTTCACTCTGAGAACCTTGGATGGGAACCTAAAACATTGTTCTCAAGTTCACACGCTCCGCTTTGGTGGCCCGGGGTTTCAGCGGTTCAGATCCTGGGCGCGGACATGGCACCGCTCATCAGACCATGCTGAGGTGGCGTCCCACATAACACAAGCAGAGGCACTCACAACTAGGATATACAACTATGTGCTGGGGGGCTTTGGGGAGAAGAAGAAGAAAGAAAAAAACTGGGGAGGGCGTCATTCTCAAAACGAGACCAAAGAATGCTTCATCTGTCCTGCTTTGAGATTTGAAGATGCATCGACACACCTCATCGTTCTGCCCAGCTGGAACTCTGTGGCTTCAATGCCACAGCGTCTGGGCTGACTGGCACCTTCAGGAGACACGGTCTGTCAGTTGTACAACAAATGTTCGCTAATTTCATAAAACGATGCCTGAAGGTTTGCAAGGGGAATGAAGTTGAGCTTAGCATTCCTACCATCAAAGAGCCAATACAGATGGAGGACAGGAGACCAAAACTTGAAACCCTGAAGAGCAATGCCACGGACATGGAGGGGTGGCCTCCCCGTGTTGGTATTAGGATAGCGCCCTTGTAGCCGAAGGCATCACAGCTTCCCTGTCAGACCTTGAGCGAGTTACTTACCCTTTAAGCCTCGGTTTCCCCTGCTGCTAATTGGAGATGGTAACAAACCAAGCTCTCAGGCCAAGTTAGAGAGTTCCTGAGCCAGTGTACCTTAAGCACGTGGCGTAATATGTGAGATGTGATAAAGTCACATAAATGTTAGTGATTGTCGTACCGAGAAACGTCACAAAGCTGTACCTGCTTTCTGTAGCCAAATCACACAGATGGGAAATGGCGTAAAAACTGAGAAGAGACGGACACCATTGTGGGCCCGTGAAGGCCGTTACGGGGATGCCTGGCGGGGTCTGACTCGAGAGGAAGGAATGGGGAGAGGGGTCTTCTGAGAGGACGACGGGCGTGGAGTTGGTACGAGACCAGATTCTCCAGGGAACCCACCATTAGCCTTTTTTCTTAAAGATTCAGAAGTGTAAATAATTAAAAATAAGAGCCAGCTAAAAAGCAGACTGAGGGACACATTTCAGAGGACTTGGAAAGAGAAATTGGGTGTATGAGGGGACTATGAAAGATTTATGAATATTTTAGTCAGAAGAGGATGTTTCTCTCATAGGAAAACAAGTTATAGACCCAAGGGGTGGCTTCTTTTGCTCATTGAAATGACATCCTTAGATAGCCACAAACATCGTGAGGATGTATAACTTCATGAGGAAGGTGATATGTTTTCTCATTGACTCCTAGGGGAAGGACATGTACCTGATCCTGGAGAACGACATGCTCAGCCTGGTGGACCCCATGGACCGCACCGTTCTCCACTCGCAGCCCATCGTGAGCATCCGCGTGTGGGGTGTGGGCCGCGACAACGGCCGGTGAGTGCCCTGTGGTGGTGCGGTCATTTGTCACCGCAACAGGTGCCCCACTTTTAGCTTAACACCAGAGTGTGGGCCCGCTGTTATTACACTTCACTGCATGTGAAAGTTGACAGTAGACTCTCTTTAGAAATGTAAAAAGTTAAAGCACATCTCTGTTTTCCTGCCTCATAAACCCTCCAGCCTACTCTCCTTCCTGGTTTCTGGACCTCAGACCGTTGTCAACTCTGGATCCTGCCTGGAGTTGCATCTTTCTCCCCCTGCTCATCCTCATTCACCTTAGTTCCCGCCTCACCCAGGCTTCTGAACCCCCTGCCTTTTTTCTCTCTCTCTTCTCTGCAGCCTGGTTTAATCCTTTATTCCATTCAATTGAGTGTCAGCCATTGCAGACACCCTCCTGTTGGTATTTTCTTCTCGAATGCTTGCTTGAAGGGAGAGGTTGTGCAATCTTTAATCACAAGCTTCAGATCATTAAATCATGACGATCAGGCACTTCTGGGGTTTGGGGTTGGTTTAACTTTTTTAATACTTGAAACATCTGGCCATATCAAAATTCCATTCAATGTGTATTTTTCTGAAATTCTACTGAAAATTTGTTATTTACAGCAAGTGCTTCTTACTTAGATGTGTTGCGAATTTTCTGTTCTCCAGGATGACTGGAAACAAGGAGTTTCTGATTTTCAAGTACATATTCTAACTAATAAGGTGACAGTTACCACAGACATCATCCTTGGATACCATTGTTTAGTAATAGGGCTACATTAAGTGCACTTAACTCTTAAATTATACTTAGTCCTTGGCAAGTCTCGAGGTACCTGAGGATCTCGTAGCATTTAGGGAAGAACTATAGGATGATTAGTTATTGCTTTGTTGAAAATGGACAAGAGCATTGCAGAAGCGGCTGAAAATCCCAGATGACAGAGATGGCTCTCCTGGGCTCGTGGTTCCAATACTGGGCGTTCTGGTTTGTTGGGGCGTGTAGTCCTCTCTCGGGAGCTCTGCTTTGGCTTATCCCAGCCTTTGTCTACGAAGGCCGGGCATTAGTGGATTTGATCATCTTTTGATTCAGTTCCAAGTCCTAAGTCAGAAAGGAAAATGGTTAAGCATTCATCAGGCAAAGAACAAGCATTTTTGCTGGAACCAGATGTGAGAAATGGTCTGCAAAGGAGAGAACTGAAGTGTCCTCCAGCTGCTGATTGGATAAACCTTCCTGGGAGCACAGTTGTGTCTTTAAGCGCTTGTAACAGTATGAACAGTGACAGCTGGGCCAGGTGCTTTGGGGGGAATGAGTGGATAGATTATGCATACACACCTGTCATTCACTTGCTTGGCAGAGCTGTAGCGCTGGAGTTGATGCGTTGACTTGAATTAATTAATTTTACAAGGAAAATACCTGCTGATGTTTGTTCATCATTAAAAACACTTAGCCTTGATGGAAGGGTGTAAGATGCTTGATCCTGCCCTGGTTTCTGTCCTCTAAGTTTGTCTTTAAGGCAGGAGCCAAGGTGAAGATCATTATATACATGTACAACTAGAAGGGATCGCAGTTTCTTAAGGTTAAGTTGTGAGGGGATTTTATTGTTAGGTTTTCAGTTCACCCCAGCTCTTCAAAGTGAGGCCAAAGGCTACACGTTCAGGGAGAAAAAAATGAGTCAAACTCCAGTTGACAAAATCGTCCAAGCTCTGAGACTCAGTTTCTTTCATCTGTGAAATGGGGATCATCATAATGACCACAAAGCAAGTGTGGATGTGCCTGAGTGTGTGTATAGTAATTGGCCCAGTGATGGGCACATGGCAAATGCTTAATGAATGTTAGCTCTTGACTTGTTAAAGCAACATACACTAGCAGATACAGCTAATTACATGGCTTCCTTTTATAGACGGGTGTGGAGTATGGTGGGGTCAAACCTCAGGGAGGTTTCAAGGACAGTTTATCATTTGATACATAGGCTGAGATGTTGTACCAGTCACTATGAGTTCAGTTGTCCTGCAAAGCACGTAGAGGCCCCACACCCCCTACCCCCAATGATATCAGTGTAAATTAGGTTGCATTGCCTTGGTTATGTTTTTGAAACGTGGGCTGTGTTACTCATGTTTTTTAAACCACTTCTTACTCAATGTTAGCAGAGAGGTATAATTTAGAAATCCACTCAGGGTTCCACATCAGCTGTCAGGACCTCAGCGAGCTCATGTAGTGGTTGGGGGCCCTTGAGCCGGATTGCTTTTGGAAGGAGTAAATTAAAAAGTAAGTTTGCCAATGAAAGGTTCTGTTTCTTCCCATTGGTCCCCTGAGTTTTCATTCCCTAGAAGAAGGGGCCTTTGTATTCCTACTTTTTTTTTTTTTAACTTACTTTTGCTTTTGATTCTTTTTTTTTTTAACAGCAATTTACAAGAGCAAATTCAATTTGTAATGCTGCAGAGGAAAGGGGTTTTCACTTTGCATGAATAAAACATAAAAGTGTTTCATTTTGCTTGAGAAAACGAGCCCATTTCGCATTCTCTTTTGTAGCTTTCCTTGCTGAGAAAATGGAATCTCTTAGGGGATTTCTTGATGTGGTTAAAGTGAAGAGGAAAAGTATGTGTACCAGAGGCTGGAAGGGTGCAGAATCTTTCTTGAAATTCAAAATGTCTCACTGAGCCATGTAATTTCAAAATTTATAAAGTTATTTTGGATTTAGCATTTTCTTAAGGTTTTCAAGTGGATTTGGTTTGCTCTAAGGAAATTTCTCATGGGGTAGGTTTACTTTGGGTGAGGAGGTGATCAGCCGTGAGGCCCTGCACTGATCCCCAGGGTTGATTTGGAGACGCGTCTTATTACGAATGGCTGAGGAGTTGCAGCCACATCAGGGGACAGTCCTCTGTGGGGTGTTGGTGGTTGTGGGACTGAGCTGAAGTTTCTGTCTTGTTCTCCAGAGGTATTTGCGTTTGCATTATTGCCTGACAGAGGGGGAGCCCCCTCCTCTCTCTCGGCTATTCTGTACTTTGGGTCCTTTTCATCATAGTGAGATAAATGTCAAGGCTCCCGGACACGGAAATGAAAGGGGTGAAAGGGGTTCCTGAGCCTTGTATTTCCCATCAAGGCAGCCCTGGGGAGCACCCAGCTTGATCTGCTTGGCTCCTGCCCACTGTGGGGGGCCATCGTCATGTGTGTGAATGGCTCTGGCCTCAGAGCTGGCATTTTGCCCCCAGTGGCCAGGGCAGACAACTGCAGCGCCACTTCTCATCTTGTCTCTGTGGGCCTGCCAGGCCACCATTCCAAGGATGGGTGGGAGGGATTTCATGACCCTGTTTCAGGGGTCCGTGCTGATTCCCGACCACAGCTCTCTTCTTACTCATTCAGCCCCTGGGAAGCAGCTTTCTCCTTATTCTTTTATAGAGGTATCAAAAGCAAGCAAACATAGTTTCCGAACATAGGGGAGTTTAAACAGGGACTCTCCTCACCTCTTGTGACAGATATGGGTCTGTCTTCTGGGAAGGGCCAAACAGATCCTTGGGTGTGTTGCCAACAGGCAATAGGGTCTGCTAATCCCATCTGTTTCCCATGAGAAAGGCAAATGGGTGAATGGTATAGTTGAAGGGTTTCAGACCCCATAAGTGGTGGGTGACTTCCAGGTGGGTTTCCCAGGTGACTTCCATCAGTACCATAGAGCACTGATCAGGTAAGATGTTCATAGACTTTCCTTGAGGAAAAAAAAAGATCCTAGGGTCATTTGGGAAACTGGGTTAAACATAGTGCGACAGGCCCCTTTACCCTGGCCCTTCACGGAGGTTTTCCTATGCTCATGTGCGCTGGAACCCTTTTCTTCATGGAAAGGCAGTCACGTGGAATACACTTTGGGAAATGCTGCTCTGGTCAGTAAACTCATTGATTTAAATTAGTGGCAACAGTAGATGGCTGCTTTTGTTTTTAAGAAAAACTGGAATTCCTTTTAATAAATAACTGTTATAAGTGGAGACTGGTGGGCCTGCTCCAACAAAGGTAAAATTCCTACGTATTTAGTAGCAGCTATTACAGCCACGTGCACATGTGCTTTTTAAAAAGTGCTTTCTTATGCAGGTTACATGTTGACCCCATGATATTGTTTACGCTTATAGTTTGCTTAGCAAAGCCTCTCTTCCTAGAAGGAGTTTTATACATCCCTTTCCTGTTTTTGGTAAACAATTTTTAACAAAATTTTACCATGTGGTAGATTATTCATAAATTTCCAAGTGACTTTATCTTTGACTTAATTGCTTTATCTGATTAAGATCTCCGGGAACTTTTATCTAAAGAATACAGTAAGCCTCAAGTGTACTGAGTATTTCTTTCATATTCTCTTTCCTAGAATATTCCCACCTGGTTTTATCTACCAAGACCCTGGTGTACGCTGTTTTAGAAGGCAGTTGCCACACGTAGTTCATACTCTTCTTTTCCTGCCAGTGTTGTCTTGTTTTGATTTCTTTTGAAAAACACTGCTTAATTTTAGGGCGGGGGGAGAAGGGGTATGTGGAGAGTCCTGAGTATTACTGGAGTTATTAAAATATGCAAAACTTTAACTCAGAGGGTTTTAAATTTAAAAGATGGTTTAGTAACCATTGTCTTTCAACCTCTTTATTTTAGAGACTAGGACTGTAGGCCAGGAGGGTGTGGTTTACCTTAGATGACCCGCCTAGTGGTGGCAGGGCGAAGAACAGAGTCCTGGTATTTTCCTCTGTCCAAGCAGGACACTCCTCTGTTGATCCTGACAGGAGATGATAGATGGTCTAAAATAACCTGGAGTCGGTGGGGAGACCAGACTCTACAGCCTGGTCCCTGTCCTTAAGGATCTGCCTTCTTAATTGAGGAGAGAAAACTGCAAGTGTGGATTGAAAACAGAGGTGGAGGAGCCAGCCCGGTGGTGCAGCGGTTAAGTGCGCACGTTCTGCTTCCGTTGCCCGGGGTTCGCCAGTTCAGATCCTGGGTGCAGACATGGCACCACTTGGCAAGCCATGCTGTGGTAGCTGTCCCACATATAAAGTAG